CACTTAAATATTTAAAACCTTTCCCTCATATAAACCATCCCAACATTTTTATATTTCTCATATCTAAACGAATAGAATAGAATAGAATACTATGTTACTTGAGGAGCCTATCCCTCTTAAACTAAAATACATTTATATCCAGAATTTTTCTATTTTTTTAACCATATTCAAACAAATGTTTAGTCTTTAAATATTCCATCTGATAGGTTCCATCATCCAATTTCTTAATTCTAACTTTAGCCTTTTTTTTTCCAAACATCCTTCCTAATCAGTATGCTCCACTGGACCAAAAAGTCTTCCCATAGTCTTGTAGAGGTTGTCGTAGGTACAGAAAAGAGATCCAGTAAAATGTTTTTGTGGAAGGGTTTCACCCCTTCGTATTCATTGAAAATATTTTTCTTTCTCTCTTAATTTCTCTTATCATTTTTTGTCTCTCAAGCTCTATAATCCATTTTGTCAAATCTTTTTTCTTGTCCTCAGTCTTATTTTGTGAGTAGATTATCTTTTCCATATCCAATATTTCCTGCAAGTTTTTCTCTGCCTGGTCATTGTTGGGTTCCATCTTTAAATCTCTTTCCTCTAGATTATGTTCAGTTGTCTGCTTTATCTGATCGCTCTCTGTTTTTATTTTCTGAGAGTTTTTTTTGTTGCAAGGTTATTTTGAAGATGTGTTCATTTCAATTTTCAAAGTTGTTTTTAATTTCCTTGTGGTTTGAAATCATTGTTGTTTGAATTAGTTGCAAGACAGCATACATTTCTTCCTGGAAACTATTTGTTTTTTCTTGATATGTTCTTTCTGCAGGTCTCTAATGTTCTATGATAGCCAAAAATCAAAGTTTTCCTTTCTCTGCAAACAGCTTTAGAGTCACAATTCTATAAGTATTTATAATCCAGGAAAGTCAATTTATTTTCTAAAGTTTATAGTTCTTGCCTTGTAAATAGCCCAAAATGTTTTCTTTTTGTTGCAGCTATTCTCTGTTTAATTAAAACATTGAAGGTCACAAAAACAAGTTATCTTTTACTGAACTTTCTATCATTTCCTGTAATAGAGCAACTAAACTTGTATATTTTCATCCACCACTATATGTCACTACCACTTCGGTTTTTTAGTTTTCAAAACAAACAATTACTTTCTTCTGTTTTCATCAATAATCTTTTGAAAAGAAAATCTTAACAAATTCCACCAATTTCAAACTTATCCAGATTGAAGTCTTATACTCATTTCATTTCAATATGTTTTTGTCCCCCATAAAAGTTTAATTCCCGCTTCCGTCTGAGGGAGTGTGAGGCAAGAATCCCCCTCCTTCTTACTGTCAGAGGATTTTTGCTTCTTGGGTTTTCTTTTTTTTTAAGACAAGTTTTATTGGTTTTTTGATTTTTAAAACAAAGTACTCAAGACACACTGTGGTGTTAGGGTGGTCAAACATCCACAGACAAAACATATATATATAATTCAATCAATACATCAAATATTCCCTCTCTTTTTCCCTTAAGTAACGTATTTTATTTAAAATAATCCAATTCTAGTTTAAATTTATTCAACCTAAACCTGTTTTTAAAGCTTTATAAATTTACACTACCATAATCAAAATAACTTTAAGTACAAACATTATCAGTTCGGGTATCCCTTCCAAATATATTCTTTCCTTAATTTTATCATAGATCTTATTTATTTCTTCTTCCACTAATATCCCTTATTTAAAATAAAATATTAATCTATCCTATACGTATCTAATCCATCCATCAATCAATCTCTTTAAACTGACAAAATAAAGTCCAACCTTAAATCATTTCAATCCTTTTGACAGAATTCAAATTTCATCCAGTTAATTTTCATAACTAATTATATTCATGTTATCAAATAAACAGATCATCTTATTAGATTAACTCAACATTACATAATAATTTTCTTACAAATAAACCTATCATTCTAAAAAAAAACAAAAAAACACATTCTTAATCAATTTAATATATATATTCCATTAATCACCCCTTTTTCTCTTACTTTTTAAGCTGAAAAGATAATATCAAACCTTAAATCATTTTAATCCATTGGACATCAAACAAACAAATCATATTATTAAAAATAATAATTTTCATATCGATAAACCCATCAATTCAAAAAGTACATTCTTAGTCAATTTAATATATATCTTCCATTAGTCGCCCATTTCTCTTACATCTCGCTCATAATCTTAGTCCTTAAATCAATCCATAATTCTAAATTGCCTTTAATTCATTACATAAAATTTTAAATTTCACTTCTTATTCTGGGCTTCTTCTTCTGCCAGATAGGTTTCCATAACAGAGCTTTCCTTCCAACTGATAAGTCTCTCTTTATTGCTTGCAGTATCATTTGAAACCATGTAAACCATCTTGGCCTTTGCATTGGCCCTCTGTTTCTCTTAACCATAAAATTTCATTGCTTTGACATTTCAAATCTCAGTCTTTGCTTTTCCTGGTCCTCAAAGCCATAGGTGAACTGCTTATCAGGCAAAGTCAAAGTTATTCTCAGTTAAGTCCTCTTCATGTGTAGTCTGTTTTATAGAATAATCAGAAGTAGTTTGAGAGTCAATTTTGAGGTTTAAAGGAGAGATTCTGGCTCTTAATTCTGTAATAAACTCTTTCATTGTAGCACATATTTCTTCTTTAGCCTCATAAATCTTTTCCAGAATAAGTTTACAATTTAAGTGTGAATGCAGCTCTATTTTAAAAGTTATTCAGCTGAATCAGGTTATCTTTCTCTCTCTCTCAAAAAAAAAAAAAAACCAGTTTGAAGGCCAAACATCTCATCTCCAAATAGTCAACAATTACAATATTAGCTTTTGGCCAGTAGATGTCCTCAGTAAGCTAAAAAACTTTTTCAAGAGTAATTTTTTCTCTTTCTTTCTATTTTTTAAGGAAAAAGTGGAGAAAGAAATACTCTTCCAATATAAGATAGTAATAGCGCTCAGCAAGAAAAAAAACAACAGCATAAACTGATAATACAGCTCTTAAGAAAAAAAAATTTCGGTACCCCAAACCATGTATAAAAAAGATGTAGTCTTTAAAATTTTGTTTTATTCATTCGTTCAACGCCTTTCTTCCCAAACAAGTAGAAGCTGCTTTTCCAAGCCAGGGAAATAATTCCAACAGGGCTCTTACAGGCAAAAAAGAAAACAAAGTAGAATAAAAAGAGAAGCAAAGAAAAAAGTCTCACCCAGATACACCACGGTGGGTTTTCAAGCTTAGATGTTTTGTTTGAAGTATTTTTTTTCCCCACCAAATAGACAGACGCCGCTCCTTAGAACAGGGAAGTCATCCAAAAAGCAAGCTCTTTGCAGGAAAAATATTTCAGAACAGAGAGAGGGAGGAAAGGTCTCACCCGGATTCACCACGGTGGTTCTTTATGCTTAGATGATTTTCTGACTTCAGCTGGCACAGCGAAGTGATCGGCCATTTTACTGACCAATCTTCGCCATTGGCCCTATGGAGTTAGCTCGGACTATAGGGGGAGCCGCCGCTCCACCGCAGCCAAGTAAAAGCCTCCTCGATGGTGGTCGCCCCACCAGGGCAATTTAAAACCCGCATAAGGGTCTACCGGTAGAGAGAAAAACAGCCAACGAAGAGCGACAGCTCTTCGTAGGGCTGAAGCTGCCTGATCTGGAAGCGGAAGTCAAGTTTTCTTTTTCTTTTTTCCAGGAAATCAAATATCAAGTAGAAGAGAGAAAATCAATATTCTTACTCAGTTCCAAACATGTTGTTTACGATCAAGCTTAAATTAATGCTTTTTGGCTTCAGCTGCTTGTAGCTTGGGCTAGACTCTGGAGTGAAGCTAGCCTTTCTTCTGCTGGTTTCTGGAGTGCTTTCCCCGAACGACCGGATTGACCGCCGTCTCTCCACTTTGTTGCCTCTCTGGGGTGACTTTAGGCCCATTTAGGGTCCCCAAACAGAAAAGAATCGGCCGTAGGATGCACAGCCCCACGATCCCTCGACTACCTGCGCTACTGAATAAAACTGGAAGCCTGATATTGGATCTTTCCTATCCCAGTCCAAGAGCACAATGAAAGCATCATATTGACATCCTTTAACCCTCATTGTGTTCAAAATATGCAAACTGCATTGATTTCCAAGAATGGAAATTCTTTCATTTTGGCAAAAATTAAACCCCACACTGAGATTAAATGTCAAATGGACTAATCCATTTGTGGGCTGAATTTAATTTGATGTTCCTCCATTTCAATATGCAAGGGACAGCATATATTATTTTGATTGGATTTAAGTGAGCTACTTGACAGATCTTACCTTTTGAACATAGACTATATTAAATTTAAGTATTTTTTTTTCAAATGTTGTGTTTGCTGATTATTTGGAACTATAAACATAATCACTAATGGGTTGAATTAATTGCCATATGCTTCACTAGCTGAAGCTTTCCTATTGTTGATAATATTAACAAATAGCTCAAATAACTTAAATAGGAAGCTGCCAGTGCGTGATCTACTGGAACACATTTGTTTTTCTGCAGAAATAGTTGTAATTCATGGAGCACTAAAATTGGCTGTAAGCCATCTGAGTCCTCAAGTCTACTTGTCATTCTACTGACAAAAGATGAATCATGAAATGCTTGTAGGATTTAAGTTCCATTACATTAGCTCTGATTTGACCTATTGTAGTTTTATAATGATCTGGTGACAGAAAAAACAGAAGAAACCATTTCCATAATGCATATTTTGCTTTATAAAATTAGGCTTTTAAAAATAAAATTAGAAGCTCAAGCTATTATAAGCTATTTTTACCATTTATCAAATCTTTGTATCCAAATGGAAAGTTAATTTTTGTCAAGTAGTTAAGACAAAAATAGGAAATAGGTTGACCTACAAAGGTATATATGGTTTTCTACTTTGTCTTTTTTATTGCTTTCACTAGAAAGTAATTACTACAACATTTTTCAAGCACTCAGAGCAATTTTTATTTCAAGTAAAACCTTGATTTCTCTAATGGATTGTTTTCTATGATAGGTGGGAGATTCAAGAAAGAGATAGTAGTTGATGGACAGAGCTACCTATTGCTAATTAGAGATGAAGGAGGTCCTCCTGAAGCACAGGTATGCATTATGTTTAATTATTTTAGTAATCTGAAATCTGGAGATCAATATTATAGATAACATTATTTCCAACAGAAAATAATGAAGGAAATGGTTTCAGCTGATTTCCTTTACAGGCCCCAGTACCATACCTGTCTCATCTGTTCAGAACAAATTATAAAAATCTCTCCTTGATCAGTTTCCATCCATTATTCCTTATCTAGCCTTTGGGTGCTCTGGAAAATAGGTTGTCCCCCTCTTCTCTGTGACAGCACCTCAAATATTGAAACATTGCTAACATGTCACTCGTCATCCTTCTCTTCACTAGACTAGCCATGCCCAATTCTTGCAACCATTCTTCATATGTTTTAGCTTCCAGGCCCCTAATCATCTTCATTGCTCTTTTCTGCACTCTCAGTGCAGAAAGTCTCAGTGCCTTTTTATAGTGTGATGACCAAAACTGGATGCAATATTCTAGGTGTGGCCTTACTAAGGCTTGATAGAATGGTATTAGTACCTCATATGATCTTGATTCAATCCCTCTGTTAATGCAATTTAGGATTGCTTTGGCTTTTTTGGCTGATGTCACACATACTTTCGCTCATATTTAGTTAATTGTTCACTAGGACTCTTAAGATGCTTCTCACAGTTACTGCTATTAAGCCAGGCTTCACCTAATCTGTACATGTACTTTTGGTTTTTCTTGCCCAAGGGTAAGACTTTTCTCTACATTGAATTTCATTTTGTTAGATAGGGCCCAGTCTTTAAGTCTGTCGAGATCCATCTGGATCTTGAGCCTATAGTGCTGGCTATTCCTGCCAGCTTAATATCATCTGCAAATTTGATGAGTTCCCCTTTTATTTCCTTCCTTGAAAAAAGTGATTAAATTAGTGGATCAGGAAATGCTGTGGATATGACATGATAGCAGTCTTCCAGTACTTGAAGGCTGTCACAGAGAAGAGGGGGTTGACCTATTCTCCAAAGCACCTGAGGGTAGGAGAAGAATGGGCATGCTCCCAAGCCTGGGGCACTACATGCACCAAGGATCCCGTTTCCTGGCTATATTTTAATAGGCCAGATGTCTTGCTTTGTATGTACTGGAATTAGACATTTTAATGTTTAGTGTATTAATGATTTTTACTGTTTTTATTGTTATAAAATGTTTTTAATATTTTAATTGTAATACATGTTTCTGAGTTATGAGCTGCCAAGAGTCATTTGCTGAGATGGGTGACTATAGAAATCAAATAAATAAATAAATAAATAAATAAATAAATGGTGGAAGATCATTAAAGGGAGATCCAACCTAGAACTAAGAAGAAATTTCCTGACAAAGCAATTAATAAATGTGTTAGAGAATTTTAATTTCTCTATTGGTGAAAAAATAAATCAGAAGATCTCACAGTTGACTGCATTTAGCTGATTAAAAATAACTTCTTTATATTTATATCAAAATATTTACAATACCATACATTCTTCTTTACAGCAACATAGGTCAATTGAAGACTTCTTACAGAGAGATACAGAGACAAACCTGAGACTGAAAATTCAGCTTCTAACTCAATACCTTTTGCACAGACTCAGTAGCACTTTCTTCACATTGGCTGACTGAGTTACCACATGACTCTTCCTGCTCATGAATATTCCAATACTTCTCCCTTCATGACAGGAAGAGACATCAGACCTATTGACTTAATACATTCTCCATAGTGAACACTACCCAATGGTTTAGTCATCATGTCTGCCAAATTATCCTCAGGAAGAACAATGATGTAAACTAATCAATTTTCTTTTTATAGCTTCCCTGACATTACAATACTTAATGTCTACATGTTTACTTCTGTTCTTCATCCTGTCACCAGTTGCCATTTTTATACAGGCAGCATTGTCTTCAAATACCTTTACAGATTCTTTTACATTAATATTTAAATCTTGCAACAACTGTACATACCATGTTACTTCAGAACACAATTTAGATAAAGCAGTGGTTCTCAACCTGTGGGTCGGGATCCCATTTGGGGTCGAACGACCATTTCACAGGGGTCACCAAACAATGCAGTCCGCCATTTTTTTTCCCTTTTCCTTAGCTGTGCTACTCCCTTTTATTCTATTGGCTTTTGAAAGCCAGTAGAATAGACTCTCTTGAATAGAGGCTGGAATTGTCCAGGCTGTCTCTGCCCTGCTGAGCCTGCCAAAAGTCCCATTCTGCAAACGGTGCTGCACCAGTTGAGTAGTCCTCGACTTACGACCGGTTGAGTAGTCCTCGACTTATGACCGGTTGGGGTCACGGCATTAAAAAGGTTGAGAACCACTGAGATAAAGCAATAAACTCTGCTTCCGCTGTTGAAATAGCAACAGTTGTTTGTTTTCTGGACTTCCATCCAATCAGAGTCCCTCCAAACAATATTATAATCTCAGAATTTGATTTCCTTGTGTTTATGTCATTTGCATAGTCACTATCGACATAGCACTTTAATTTCAATTCCTCAGTAATCTGTATTTGAAGACCCAAATTTATAGTTTCCTTTAAATATCTGAGAACCCTTTTTACATCCATCCAATGTAACTTTGTAGGTGCAGCAGTAAAATGACTCAAAATGCTTACTGCGCAAGCTATGTCTGGTCTGGACCACTGTGATAGATATAACAAACTCCCTATTGCTGAGTGATATATCTCTTGATCACAGGTTTCACCTTTGTCCGCACTTAAACTATTATAAAAATCCGTAGTCATGGGTGTGGGAGCAGTATTGCAATCTTTCATATTATATTTTTCCAATAACTGCTCAACTGCTCAATTTTTCTCCTTTGACTGAGAATATAACCACCTTTTTCATTTTTCTGTATCTCTACACTGAGATAATTTTTTATTATTTCTTATTATTTTTTATTTCTCCCAAATTTTTTAATTCAAATTTCTTTCCTAATTTATCAGCAAATTCCTTGACTTGTGATGGATCCTTTGCGATGAAGCAAAGATCATCCACAAATGATAACAGAAGACAATTCCCTCCTTGTAACTGTCCAGTATATATACAATTATCAGCTTTGCAACTCTTAAGACCCTTTAAAGCAGTATCTAAATAAATATTCCAGTTTCTGGCTGACTGCTTCAACCCATAAATAGCCTTGTTTAATTTATACACCATGTTAGGTTTTGCAATTTCATATCTTGGTGCTTGGATCATATAAATTTCTTCCTCTAACTCAGCATTGAAGAATGCAGTTGTGATATCAAACCTTTACCTTGCTGGCAGAATACCTGTCAGGCGGAATTCCTTTGTTACATGGCTCTGAATTACGTGGTATTAACTGCTCCTATGTCTCAAGTCTATCTGGCTTCATGTCTTGTTCAGCCTCTCCTCCCTGAACATTGACATTTTCAGTAATCATTTTTTTTATCATTAGATGAGTTATTGTTGTTAAATAGATCACTGTCATTAAGTGAGACATACCCAGAATTTGCATTAATTCTGTCCCAATTTTGTTCTGCAAAATTAGCAGACCTTGAAATTACAGTTCTTTTACTTCCATCGCTAAAGCGATATCTTTTTGACCCTGGCTCATAGCCCACAAACCTGAGCTTTCTTGCCTTCTGCTGTCCCTTTCTTCTGATTGCTTTCGGAATATGTACCCATGCAGTACTTCCAAAAATTCTCAAATGTGCCAGTGATGGCTTTCTCCCATATAGAATGGCATATGGAGTATTATTAATGGAGGAACTCCACAGCCTGTTAACTATATAATTGGCAGTCAATATGGCTTCTCCCCAATATGACCTGCTCATACCAGAATCCTCTAATAATGAATCTTTCATTGGTTGCAAAACACCATTCCTTCTTTCAGCTACACCGTTCTCTGCTGTTGTGTAAGGATTTGTACGTATGCATCTTATCCCCAATTGCCCCAACCATTGTTGGAATTTAGTTGACATAAATTCAGTACCTCTGTCAGTTTGCAACTGACACACTTGTTGTTTGTACCTTCTCTCTACAAAACTTACCCACTGTTTGAATTGTTGTAGCACCTCTAAGCAAGTCTTACCTCTAAGCAAGTAGCAAAACGAATACCTGCTATAATCATCAACAATTACCAGTGCATATTTTGCTCCTCCCAAACTGGCTTGCATAGGTCCTACCAGATCTGCATGGACCAGCTCTAGAGCTCTTTTTGTTTGTCTTGTGCTATATTTACTAACTGGGAATGCCTTTGACTTCGATGCTTTGCATATTGCACAGTCCAAATATGCTTTGCATCCCTTCAAATTTAGCCCTTCTGCAAACTCTTGCATTTGCTGCAAAACTTTAAAGCTTGCATGGCCAAGTCTTCTATGTAGAAGATGAACACACAAATCATGCTCTGCAACATTCTTAAATATATAGTGAAGTAAACAAACAGTTAAGTTTCAGCAAGCACTGGACACAGCATTACCCCTTTGAAGCTTCAGTCTTTCAAGCTATCAAATAGTAATATCCAACTAAATATATAAGCTGTATTAGCAGCAACAATCTACCTCCCCCCATTGGGCAAGTTAGAACAGTAGCCTCAGCTGGGAAAGTTTTTCCTTTGCTAACACCTTTGCTAACAGTATCTATCTCCTTTGCTTTTCAGCTGATATTCCTGTTTTGAGAGAACCATTTAATTCTCCCTGAGAGAGCTGAACTACTTCAAGCCCTGGTCTCTTTAAAGCTAAATAGAGAGTCCTGAGCAGTTTCTTTGGTGTCAGCCTTCCTTTTCCTTTCTACTTTCAGCCTTAAACTCATCATGCTCTGAGGTGGAAAATGCTCACTCCCTGATGATAAAGCTTACGTATTGGCATTTTCCCTTCATCATAATGATCTATTTTAAATATAGTCTATTTCTTTCTTGTGCTGAAGTGATCGAGTTGGTTAGAAGAGAATAGTGAATAAAATAAATCTAGGTTAATATAAATGTTCTGAATGACAGTTGTAAGCTTTAGAGAAGTAACCTGACTGTAGGGATAATGTATAGGTTTGAATATATATATGATTAAACTTATATTAATGAAGATTAGTAAGAGTGAGAGTATCTGTAATTGGGTAAATGTTTGCTCTATAAAGCAATTAATTGTTAAAAAAGCGAACTGAAGAATAACAAAAAGCAATTACATTAATTGTATAGAGTTTGGGGTAAATCCTCATTTACTTAAAATAAGAAAATTTATTTCAAAAAGGAACAAAAATTCAATTTCTGGTTATTTTCACATTTTGGTACAATGTGAAATAAAAATCCCAATTAGAAAAGTATATAATAAATTTTAAAATAAAATAAATAATCAAATGACTGAAATAGGGTATTTCAGTTGACTAGTAGCACTTATATAAACATCTACTGAGGCCTTTGATCACTTTGATTCTTTGTGTAGACTTTGAGAACCAGGCTTTAATTCTCATGTAGGATATGTCAAGGTTCCGACTGATGATCCCCACCAAGTAAGCACAGTTGAAACATTCCAATCTCTAATGCAAAACTTAATTGAGTACAGCATATTGGCACTGATGAATAGAAAATCAGCTCTGGTGAAAATGGCGCCAGAACAGTAAATTAAAAGTATAGAATCTCCCTTCCCCTCCGATAGTGCAGGTCACATTCCCCAATTAAGTATCAGACATTTGTTATGAAAAAATTCTTCAGTTCCCAGCCCAGCCATTCTGCGATGACCTTGATTCCCAGAGTGGACCATTGCAGCTGTGCTGAGCACTCCAAACATCCCCCCTCCCTCCTGCTGAAGAAACAACAATGGCTGAAGCAGAACAGGTTTCTTTGATGCTTGACAGGGTACTTGCAAGTCACATTAACAATTCAAACAGACTATCATGTTTGAAAAAAACAAAAAAGTTCACAGTGATGGTTTCTCAAACAGGTTTTCATTGATAAAATCAATAAATATACACCAAAGTGTCCCTTAGATGTTATTCATGGTCATGTACTGAATACATTCTTTTGATAAAATGATTAAATTAGTGGATCAAGAAAATGCTGTGAATATAATATACTTAGACTTCAGTAAGGTATTTGATAAAAAAGTAGACGATAGCCTACTTTTTGGTAAGATAGAAAAATGTGGGATAGACAGGACCACCATCAAATGGATTTGCAGTTGCCTATCCATTTGCACTCAGCATATGGTCCTCAGTGAAATTACATCTGTGTGGAGGGAAGCATTCAGTGGAATACCTCAAGGTTCTGTCCTATGCTGGTGTTCTTCATCATCTTCATAAATAACCTAGATGAGGGGATAGAAGGAGTGCTCAATCAAATTGGCAGATAATACCAAACTGAGGGGAATTGCTAACACAAGATGAACTCAAGATTCAGAAGGATCTTTACAGATATGAACATTAGCCCTACCCAACAAATTGCAGTTCAGTGGTGAGAAAAGTAAGGTGCTTCACTTAGGCAAGAAAAACCAAATGCACAGGAACAGAATAGATAGTACCTGGCTCAACAGTAGTATCTGTGAGAAGGATCTTGGTATTCTGGTGGACCACCGCTTATGTATGAGCTGGCAATGTGTTGCAGTTGCCAAAAAAGCCAGTGCAGCCCTAGGGTGCATCAACAAGAGATGATAGTACTGCTCTGCACAGCAGTAGTAAGGCTACACTTGGAATACTGCATCCAGTCCGGGTTAACATGACACACAAAAAATACTGAGGCCCTAGAAAGAGTGCAGAGAAGAGCAACAAAGATGATAATGGGTCTGGAAGCTAAATAAGTATGACCTGCTAAGGAAAATAATTACGTTTAACCTAATAAAGAAAAGGCTTTAGACATGTCAGCCGTCTTCCAATTTGATCGGCTATTACAGGGAAGAGACAGTCAATTTATTCTCCAAGCAATTCTCCTGGACAAGGACAAAAAGCAATGGGAAGAAGTTTGTCAGAGAGAGATCCAACCTGGAACTTTCCTGACAATGAAAGCAGTTAGTCATTGGAACAGCTCGCCTCCCAGAGGTTGCTTAATTGCTGGAGGGTTTGCAAGAAAAGATTGGACAACCATTTGTCTGGGGTGGAATAAGGGCTCCTGCAGCTTTGGATTTGCCAGAAGTGCCTTCTGTACCTGCATATGAATGTTCAATTCATGTAAGAAGATCCTCAAAGTTATCATGCAAAGCTTCTAATGGTCAAAGCAACCCCATGTTTTAAGTAGCCAACTCAGAAAATTGATTTTATAAAATTCTTACTCTAGTGTAATTTTCTAATAAAATATTTGTTGTTGGATAACCTAATACCCATTTAGATCTTAAAGCAGGAGTGTCAAACTGCCGGCCTGCAGGCCGGTTGCGTCATACAGAGAGCACGCCCACTCCAGCTCCGGCAATGCAAAAAAAAAGTTGTGATATGTCGCGGCATGTCACATGACGTGGCGAGTTTGACACCTGTGTCCTAAAGTGTGTGGCTTGATTTTGACATCAGATTTCCTCTATTTTAAAGGTTTCTTTTAATTTTTTTCCCTACAGTTTGCCATGTGGGTTGATGCTGTTATCTTTGTCTTCAGTCTTGAGGATGAAATTAGCTTCCAGACAGTGTACCACTATTATAGCCGTATGGCAAACTGTCGTAATGCTAATGAAATCCCAATGTTACTAGTAGGAACTCAGGGTAAGCAGTAATTTTTACACCATATTTATTTATTGAAAACATTGACTTGCTTCTTTTCTTTATGAAGCTGTATCTTAAGAACAGCATCTTATTCATCTTATTCATCTTATTACTATTGATACGTATTTATAAAGCTTTGGAAACCAAGAAATGTTTTAGAATATGTGAAAATGCATACACAGCTCCTCCTTCTGGATAGGCGAAGTAATGGTGTCTTTTTGTAGACTTGCATGGCTCTTTTGAAAGCAGTTCCTGACTACCTTCCCATGTATATGTATGCATAACTATTTTACCTTGCAATTTTCACATATCAATATATTTTCTTTTTCATATCCCTAGCAAATCATGAATTTGCCTAGCAAATTCTAGCAAATCCATGAATTTCCCTTTGGTCAATATTTTGCAACTGAAATCATTCAATGATAAATGTCTGTTCGGTGGATTTACCATTTGGGGTAGTTGTATTTTATCCACCACAGATTATTATTATATCATTTGCTGGTCAGTGAACAAACTAAAGAAACTTAACCTTATATGACCTGAGACCTCATAGAAATAACAGACAATTTGTATAATATACTACACGTATATTACATACGTATGCGCATACACACACACAAACACAAACTATACAACCCATGACCCATTGGATCATCGTATCGGAGATATATCTTTATCTAAACAGAACAACAGAATGACCACAATGAGTCAAAAAGTAATAAGAGTAGGAGAAAACCTCCAGTTTTCTGTTGGCTTCCCCATTGAATTTCCTTGTGGGAAGCTTTCAGGGAACACAAACTTTCCTTCCTCTTCTTCCTTACTATCACATTTGAGTTTATATGTCCTGTCAGCTTAAGTTAGCTTGACATAATTAAAAAGAAATAGGTGCCACGTGGGTCTGGGAGGGTGCGAAAGGAGGTAGTGAGTGTAGGTGGTGAGAGTGCATGAGAGGTGTGGTGCAGATCAGTAGGGGCTAAGAGTCAGGACAGATCTGTAAAGGTGCCATGTGAATCAGGAAGGGTGCATGGGGATGTGCAAGGGATGCCATGGGAGAGGGTGCACATGAGTGTGCCGCAGGTCCAGAAGGGTGTTTGGCAGTGCATTGTCAGAATCCAATTATATTTCATCTCTAGTTATCGACTATGGAAAACCCCATTTCTGCCCTCTTTGGATTCTGTCATACTACAAAGGGGAAGGGGGATGAACAAAGGGGTTTTATGGCTCTCACTTCCTTCATTACAACTTCAAAGGGATTGAATGTGGATATCACCAAAAGGACTGACCATAACAATAGGGCCCATCAGCTTTCATCTACTCCTCTCTGAAGTCTCCCTTCCGCCAACCATGAGGAAAAAGGGGGTGGAAGTGTAACACCTGGGATTGTCGCTGAAAGGACGGTGGGGTGGGGGCGCTGCTTGGGAACACTTAAAACCTTGAATGGTAGAGGTGGCCCTCAGGTTCTGTCTAGAACGCCTGCAACCATCTTCTCTTAATAAAGATGCCTGTTGGAAGAAATATTCCAAGAGTTCTCTCTTCTTAAGATGCAAAGTGGGGTGGGTCCTTACATTAGACAGAACCTGCAGAATTAGTCCACCTGAAAGGGAGAACCTTGCCGGGGGAGTTTGCAAAAATTACCATGTCAGACGATGGAGCAGGGAAGGGAGAAAATCCCCAGAAAGGGAGCCGCTGCCCCGACTGAAACCCTGCCAGATGTTGGGATCTGAAAGATCAGATTCCTCAGGAGAAGAGGTGGTGGAGACACGGGACCACAAACCTTGGTGGTCAGTGGGCGTTGGAAAAAAAGGCGAGTGGGAAAAGAAATCAAGAAAGGTGACCCTGAGACGAGGGCCAACCAACCAGAATGGAAGCAGGAGATTGAGAAATCCCTGCACGCAAGTGAAGAGGAAGGGAGATGGGCACCGTACTCGGGCTGGATCCTAGAGAAAACTATTGACCTGATGAAGAGAACCCTCAGCTCCCTAGGAGAGGAGAATTCTGAGTCCTACGGCCTCCCCAGCTCCTGGAGGCACAAAGGGAGAGACACCGAGGGGGGAGTGGAACCTGCAGCCCTGAGGATGTCTGCTGATCCAGTAGTCCCCACTCCCCGCCGACCCGCAGATGGTGATCTGGATGGAAGACACTACCACCGACAACAAAGGCACCGGTTCATTCAAAGACTCCTGCCGCTGGACGTGAGATTCAAGGGGGAGCCGACACACTTGGGGTTTTTCCTAACCCAAGTCCTCAGCTACATGGAGGAATACAGGCGGTACATCCCCAGCGACAAAGCCCGTATCCGGATCGTTTAATCCACAGATTGGGTGGTGAACTTGCATGACTCCAATGCCCAAGAACTCAATGATTTCAACCTTTTCATGTCCTCTCTGAGAAGGCGATTTGAGGACCCCCTGGCTGATTGCAAAGCCAGCAAAAGGATCAAAACAATGAGACAAGGCAAATGCCTGGTAGCCAAATATACACAAGAATTTCGGGCCATTGACAGCAAACTGAACTGGCCAGAAGACATCCTCCCTAGCCATTTCAAAGATGGACTAAATTATGACCTATATGACGCTTGCCTGCCCCGAGGGGACCCACACCAACTTAATGAATGGCACGTCTTGGCAGAGGAAGCAGAAATCGACATACTGAAGAGGCACTGCCGAGGAAAACAATGGAGCCGCTCACCGCCTGAGATGACATGTGAACCAGTGAAACCATCAGCTACGGCCAAGAAGCAAATGGGGTGTTTCAAGTGCAGGAGAGAAGGGCATTGGGCTGTAGAATGCCGCTCAAAAGCCCCCCAGCACAACCCAGAAAGATCACCGGCCAGCAAATCCAGAAAGTCTCCAGCCAAGCCAAAAGAACCTGCCATGAGAATGATGGAGGCTGTGAAATCCCCCATCTCTGCTCATCAGGGGGAAAGAACTCCAGCCTACACTGCAGGGCCGGTGGACACCTCAGACGACAGCTCAGAGGGTGAACCCCTGATAAGTGGACGCATCGCACCCCTCCTCAAGGCAATGACTATATTAATTCCCTCCATTCCCGAAGCCGTGAAGGTGAAAGCTGTAATAGACTCTGGCTGCACCCGCTGCCTTATTAGCCCGACGCTAGTGGGGAATCTGCGCATTCCGTTGAGGAGACTGGAACAACCAATCTCATTTGGCCAGTTACATGGGTCCATAGCAGGGGGGGTGCCAGCTACCCTAGCCACTTTACCAAAACCCTCTCCCTGGGCAAACATGAGGAAGACATAACGTTTGTAGCGACACCAGGCAGGAAATGCCTGATGATCCTAGGGATGGAATGATTAAAAAAATGGAACCCCTGGGTGAATTGGAGGACGACAGAAATCAATTTCCCAAAAGGGGACCCTATGGACTTAAAATCCCAAGGAGAGCTACCAAAATTAAGAACTGGAAAAAGCATCCATGGGAGGGGAAAAGGGACTACCAGAAATACCAGAGGAATACAGAGATCTTACTGAAGCTTTCAGTGAGGAGAGGGCAGATGAGCTCCCCCCCCACCGACCCACAGACTGCCATTGAATTCAAGCCTGGGGCAAAACTCCCAAAGCCCAGATTATACTCCATGAGCCCAAAGGAGAAGGAGGAAATGGAAAGATTCATAAAGAAAAACCTAGAAAGGGGGTTAATTGAGCCAGCCAAGCCTAAAGTGAAGAAGGGCGGCTCCTTACGCTTATGCGTGGATTATAGGCCCCTCTTGAAGGACATGTCACACCTCTCGAAAGGGATTTTTTTTCTAAACTAGACCTAAGGGAAGCTTACTATCGCATGAGAATTAAGGAAGGGGATGCATGGAAGACCGCATTTAACTGCCCAATTGGCTGCTACCAATTCAAAGTCTCGCCATTTGGATTACAAGGGGGCCCCTCAGTATTTATGCAATTAATCAATGACGTTCTAAGGGAGCATCTATTTAAGGGGATCCTGGTTTACTTAGACGACATTCTTATCTTCACCAAATCAAAAGAGGAACATGTCAACCTAGTCAGAGCAGTTTTAAAGAAACTGCGAGCCGCCCACCTAGATGCCAAACTCTCGAAATGCGAATTCCACCAGGAAAGGATAGACTACCTAGGTTATTGCATATCCCTCCAGGGCATTGAAATGGACCCAGAGAAGGTCAGAGCAGTATTAGAATGGGCACCGCCCCGCACAAGAAAGCAACTACAAAGTTTCCTGGGCTTCACAAACTTTTACCGCCAATTCATCCCCTTGTTTGCCCAGATAGCCCTGCCCCTCACGAACTTACTAAAAACGAAGGGAGCATCCTCAGTAAAACCTAGCCAGCCATTAAAATGGACAATGGAGTGCCAAGCAGCGTTTGAGCGATTAAAGAGATTTTTTTCTGCCGAACCAGTACTGAGGCACCCAGACATGGATAAGCCCTTCGTAATACAGGTGGATGCAAGTGATGTGGCAGTGGGGGCTGTACTATTACAAGAAAACAATGAATTAAAACAATGTATACCCTGTTCGTATACATCCAAGAAACTCACGGAAACGGAACAACATTGGCCCATGTCGGAGAAAGAGGCATACGGGATACGTTGGTCATTACTCACATGGCGCCAGTTCCTTGAAGGCAACAAAATCCCTTTCCAGATGTGCACAGACCACAAAAATTTGGAAGCCCTGAAAACACCCAGGAAGCTCAACCCCAAGCAAGCCCGCTGGTCCCAGCATTTTCACCAGTTCCAATTTACGCTCAAGCATTTGCCAGGGGGAAAGAACTTCCTGGCAGATGCACTGTCTCACATGCCCCAATATAACAACACGCGAGCCACTGACTCTAAACCGATGATGGTAGAATCACAACTGGCAATGCCATTAACCACCAGAGCCCAAGCTAAATTAAAACCATAGGTGGGCAGCCAAACCGGAATTGAATTCCGGAAAAACTTGGAAACAGCAGAATGGTTCCAGAAAATTAAACGTGTGCACAATGAAGGACGGGCTACCTTGGGTGGGGGAAAAGTTATATATGCCAACAACCCAAAGAGTCACATTCATGCAGCTTTGCCACGACACAAAATCAGCAGGGCATTTTGGATTTGTAAAAACATTACACTTAATTAAACGGCAATTTTGGTGGCCATCCATAAAAAAGGACATAGGAAGTTATGTGGCCAGCTGCCCAAAGTGTGCAACTGCAAAGAGGTTGCAAGGGAAATCACCTGGACTGTTACAAACAGTGGCAAATCCCTCAGCCCCCTGGAGGGAAATAGCCATGAATTTTATACTGGAATTACCAGAAAGCAATGGGAATACTGTTGTCTGGATGGTCACAGACTTGTTTTCCAGACAGGTGCACTTTATCCCTTGCCAAAAGATTCCCACCGCAAAAACCTTAGCGAAACTTTTCATCCAGCATATTTACAGATTGCATGGGGCACCCCAACGCATCATCTCTGATAGGGGAGTGCAATTTACGTCTGCATTGTGGAAGGAATTTTTATCCCTCTTAGGGACCACTCAGGGACTGACATCTAGCCATCAGCCTCAGTCGAATGATCAATCGGAAAAATTGAACTCACTACTTGAGCAATATTTAAGATGCTTTCTTAGTTTCCAGCAATCGGATTGGACGGACTTACTCCCTTTCGCAGAAGTTTCCTACAATAATGCAGTCCACTCCAGCAGAGGTTACACTCCTTTTCAAATAGTTACCAGTCAAAGTTTCAACCCCATGCCAGAACTAACCCCAAACGAACTGGCGATCCCATCACTGAAAGAATGGATGGAACAATTACAAAACACCTGGCCAATAGTTAGACAAGCCCTAGATGAAGCTAGGCAGGCATACAAAGCACAAGCCGATAAAAAAGGGTTGAACCTACACCATTCATTATAGGAGATATGGTGTACTTATCTACAAAATACCTAAAGTCCCTACAACCCTGTAAAAAACTTGGGCCAAAATATGTAGGGTCTTTTCCAATTAAAAGAATCATAAACCCAGTAACAGTAGAATTAGAATTACCCAAAAATCTCAGGCAAATACACCCAATTTTTCATTGCAGCTTGCTGAAAAGAGAGCATCAGTCATCGTTACGGCCAAAATTCCCCCCACCATCACCTCCAATCATGGTGGAGGGCGAACAACACTTTGAGATAAAGGAAATCCTAGATTCTAGGAGATATCATGGAGCATTTCAATACCTAGTAGCATGGAAACACCTCCCTGCCTTACAAAATGAGTGAGTCATGACCGTCATGTCAGAGCCCCGAAGCTATTAAAGAAGTTTCATACAGAGTATCCTAACAAGCCAGACTAACTTTTATACCTGTTTTGTTTTCTTTACAGGTGGATCTGTCTTATTTTTAAGGGGGGCGCAGGATGTCAGAATCCAATTATATTTCATCTCTAGTTATCGACTATGGAAAACCCCACTTCTGCCCTCTCTGGATTCTGTCATACTACGAAGGGGAAGGGGGTTAAACAAAGGGGTTTTATGGTTCTGATTTCCTTCGTTACAACTTCAAGGGGACTGAATGTGGATATCACCAAAAGGACTGACCATCAGCTTTCATCTATTCCTCTCTGAAGTCTCCCTTCCGCCGGCCGTGAGGAAAAAGGGGGTGGAAATGTAATACCTGGGATTGGTGCTGGAAGGGCGGTGGGGTGGGGGGGCTGCTTGGGAACACTTAAAACCTTGAATGGTAGGGGTGGTCCTCAGGTTCTGTCTAGAATGCCTGCAACCATCTTCTCTTAATAAAGATGCCTGTTGGAAGAAATATTCCAAGAGTTCTGTCTTCTTAAGATGCAAAGTGGGGTGGGTCCACTTGGGTTAAGGAAAAGGCACAGAAGTGTGTTCGGTTGCAGGAGTTGTGGCAAGTGGGTCAGGGAGGGATGTGGGAATTCAGCACAGGTTCGGAAGGGTGTGCTAGGGTGTAGCATGGGTTGGGGATGCATGAGGGGGTATGAGTAGTCAGCATGGCATGAATGCAAAAGGGGTGACAAGACTGTGTGAGTTGTGAGATTTACCAGAGTACCTTGCCAGTTCCTTGCTTGCTTCCCATTGCTGACATCCTTGCAAATCTTCCCATAAGCAAAGACTGTTTGTCAGAAGTTGTCAGGGAAATCACAACCAAGTTTATACTTTTTGTGGCTTTCCCATTGATTTGATCCCATCGGAATCATGGGTCCCAAATTTTGGATGCATTCTTGTTAGTTAGCCCCTTTTAGATACTTTGCCCTATGAGGTACCATGTCACCTAATTAAAGTTACAAACTTACATGAGAATTTTAGTATTTTTATATTTTTAAAAATTGGGTGCTATTTTCAGAAAAATTGTAAAGTCATATTTTTTCTCTAAAAGTTATATTTTTTTGTTTAATTGGTCATATTAAAATGATTTTAAGATCATAAATTCTTGCATATTTCTAATATTTTAGGTTATAGAAATCCTCATCCTAGTGATGGTAATGATAGTAGTAACCTGGATTATTTGAGGAACCACTTTTTGATACATCTGCCCATCCCATCAGGTTGGGTATGTTGCAGCTCCTGTTCGCTAAATAGATACACCTGGCAGGACCCAGAAGACCAGCCTCTTTCGCCATAGCACCAACCCTGTAGAACACCTCCCCTGAGATGACATTGATCTCATCCTGGATATTCTATCAGATATCCTCAAAATTGGACTGTGTCAACAAGCATTTTAGTTGCATTCTGGTATATGGATACTAATTATTGGCCAGATTTGTAAGGCAGCCATTTTGTGAGGTATTTTCAGAATTCCAAATAGCTCCACAAAATAAGAGACATGCTTTAAGAACGTTCTGAAACAAAAATGCCTTCTGTTTTCTTTACAGATGCTATAAATTCAAATAATCCTCGTGTCATTGATGATAGTAGAGCACGGAAACTATCCAATGATTTGAAGAGATGTGTCTACTATGAAACTTGTGCTACCTATGGGCTGAATGTGGAGCGAGTCTTTCAGGATGGTAAACTTACTCTTCACTACAACTTGTCCATCTAATTGAAATGCAGTGATAAAAATATAAGAAACTATAACAAGGTTCTAAAGTATACAGTGAATTCAGAAAGTATTCAGACCCTCTTCTCTTTTGTCAATTTTGCTATGTTGCAGCCTGATTCTACAGTTGTTGAAATTATTTTTTTCTCATTAATCTACACTCAGTACCCCATAATGACAAAGTGAAAACAGAAGTTTAGAAATATCTGTAAATTTATTTTTTAAAAAACCTGAAATATTGTATTTGCATAAATATTCAGACCCTTCACTCAGTCCTTTGTTGAAGCACCTTTGGCAGCAATTACAGCCGCAAGCCTTTTGGGGTATGATGCGACAAGTTTGCATACTTGGATTGGGGGATTTTCTGCAGTTCTTCCTTGCAAATCCTTTCAAGCTCAGTAAGATTGGATGACAACCACCATTGGACAGCCATTTTCAGATCCCTTCAGAGATGTTCAATAGGGTTCAAGTTAGGGTTCTGGCTAGGCCACTCTAGAATAGTCACAGAGTTGTCCTTAAGCCACTCCTGTGTTGTATTGGCTGTGTGTTTACGATTGTTTTTTTTTATTGAAAATTTTTAAAATTTTTTACAAATAACAAAAAAAGAACAACAACAAAAAAAACCAAAACAACCCTCACCCAACCCCTCCCAAACCACCCCTTCCATCCCCCCCCCGAGCTTCCCAGAGCTGAATATAGGCTTAATTAAAATTTTAAAAAACCTAAACAGATTTTAACAACTTATAAAATAGTTAATAATAAAATATATATGACATAAGCATTAAAAAGAAAAAAATACTTAAAAAGAAAAAAGAAGAAAAAAAAGAAAGAAAAAAAGAGATAGAAAAAAAGAAAAAAAGGAAAAAAGAGAAAAAGTACAATCTATAAAATATCAAAAATTATATACAAGTTATAAAAAAGCTAAATGATATTTTTTATATCCAATTTATGTTGTATAAAATTTATCCATTTTTCCCATACGGCAAAAAATTTCTCTTGCGATTGCTCCTTTAAAAAAGCCGAAATCTTTGCCATTTCCACCAGATAAGAAACTTTAAAAAACCACTCTTGCAAGGTAGGCAAAGATTCCTTCTTCCAATATTGCCCTACTAGCAGCCTTGCGGCTGTAATCAAATTTAACATCAATATAACCTCCTTAGCATCACAATCAATAACAATACCTAACAAAAATAATTGCGGAGTAAATTTTACCCTCTTTCTAAAAATTCTTTGAATATTCCACCATATCTTAATCCAAAAAGCTTTTATGTTTTTACACGACCACCAAATATGATAATAAGTGGCGTCCAAATAACCACATCTCCAACATTTAGGCTGTAAGTCAGGGTACATAACAGACATTTTTTGTGGATCAAGGTGCCATCTATAAAACATTTTATAAAAATTTTCCCTTAAGTTCTGGGCTTGCGTAAATTTAACATTCCTCACCCAGATAATTTCCCAGGTATCCAGTGGGATTGGTTCACCAAAATTTTGTGCCCATTTAATCATACAGTCTTTGATTAATTCAGATTCTGAATCCAATTCCACTAGAACCCCGTAAACCCTCTTAATGTGAGTTTGTCTTTGATCCTTAATTGTTTAAAAAGATTTTCATCTTCTCTAAGCCAGCCCATATTACAATCCATCTTCCATCTATCCACTATTTGTCTATATTGAAACCATGAATAGGTAATATTTTCATGTGCTAAATCTTCCAAAGATTTTAACTGCCAATTTTGACCATCCCATCTAAGTAGTTGTGTATAAGAGACCCTATCCATTTTAACTCCTCTCCTTATCCCCTCTATCGCCAAGGTATGGCCCATAAAGGTATTTTAAAATCACTCTTATAATATTTCCTCCAAACCCGAAGTAAAGAAATCCTTATAATATGTGACTTAAAAACTCGATCCACTTTTTTATTAAAAATTAAGTAGGCATGCCATCCAAAAAGTAAATCCCAACCCTCCAAATGGAGTATTTCTACATTTGTTAAATTTACCCAATCACTAATCAATGTTAAGACCACGCATCATAATATAATTTCAAGTTCGGTACCTTGAGTCCACCTCTCTCACGGAAGTCTTGCATGATTTTAAGCTTTACCCTTGGTTTTTTCCCTGCCCAAATAAATTTATTAATGCCTTTCTGCCATTCATTTAAATTAACCTCATTCTTTAAAATAGGTAGCATTTGAAACAAAAAGAGAAATTTTGGTAGGACATTCATTTTAATCACTGCAATTCTACCCATAAGAGATAACTGTAACTTATCCCAATTCTTCAGGTCTTTCTGTACCCTGATCCACAACCTTTCATAATTATTCTTATACAATTTTACATTAGAAACAGATAAAATAACCCCCAAATATTTTACCTTATCAACAACGTCAAAATCAGTTAGATTAACCAAAATCTGCTTGTCCCGATTAGTCATGTTTTTAGGTAATATTTTAGTCTTATTATTATTAATTTTAAAACCCGAAACACGTCCATATTGATGAATCAGTTGTAGTAACTTTACTACAGAATAGGTAGGTTGAGACAGAGTAACCACCAAATCATCTGCAAAAGCTCTTAACTTATATTCTTTTTTGTTAACTTCTATTCCTTTTATTTCCTGCGACTCTCGAATTTTAATCAACAAAATTTCCAATGTTAGAACAAACAGTAACGGTGACAATGGACATCCCTGTCTTGTACCTTTTTCTATTGTAAAAACCTCTGACAAACCCCCATTAACAATAAGTTGTGCCGTTTGTTTTTGATATATAGCACCTAGAGCTTGTGATATTTTTTCTCCAAAATTCATCTCCTCAATTAATCTTTTTTTTTTATTATTGAAAATTTTTAACATTTTACAAAATAAATCCCCTCCCCAAACCCGCCCACCCACCCATACCCTCCCCCAGCCCCAAACCTCCCTAACCCTCCCCTGAACCTCCCAGAGTTGATTACAGGCTTATCCAAAATATTTCAAAAGAAAAAAAAGAAAAAAAACTTAAAACACATATAAAACTTAAAACACCTATAAATCCTAAACAATCCTAAATACCTTAAATTAAATGAATTATTTCTAGAAAATAATAATAGACACATTATAATATACTCTAAAAATCTTCTAATCTTACTTATAATATTATCCATCCTTCTACATAAATTTCTTCCAAGACCAATTTTAAACACTACTTTCTTTAAACATCTATAACTACAATATAAAGTCTAGCATAAATCATAAACAAATCTAAATACATTTAGTTAAACAAGTTATAGTCCCTCCAAAACACAAATTTAAACAATCAGAACTTGAAACATTAGAACAAACAAATTATAATCAATCAAAAACACAAATCTGAACATTACTTAAAACTTTAAACATTAAAAACCCCACCCAAACACTAAACACATTGTAATATACTCCAATCCTTCTAATATCATAAATATTATTATCATTTTCATAAACTCCCCCAAAACACAAATTTATACATTACTTAAAACTTAAAGAAGGAAAAAAGGAAACAAGACACCTTTATACTCATTTAAATCTTATCAGATTCCATCCAAAGTAGACAGTTTATAACAAATTCCACCCACAAAAAACACTATAACAAATTCCATCCACCATAAACACAATAGATATTCAAATCTTCATCAATAACAAGTTGCAACCACAAAAAACCCAGTCCTTATCAATCTCAATTGTCCATTTTCATTCTCCATTCATTATCATACTGATATTATTATCGTCAGCCTCGATTGTCCATTTTCGTTATAAAGCTTAAAACAAATGCTTTAGGATCTGTCCTCAAAAGCTGCTCCAAATTTTCTGAGTCTCCCAATGACTCAGAAGCCAGTACATGTGGGGATTCCTTAAGCTCCTTATTCTGTTGGTCTTTTTCTTTACAATTATATGTTGCACAGATTTTCCTCTGCCCCTTCTTCTCAACTTGTTGACGCCCCTCAGGCTGAAATTTCCCCTTTTTCATCTCATGTGAGCCTTCCATCCTTGAAGATTGCTCCAAAGGATTTATGGGTCTTGCTTCTCCCACAGAATCAGCAATCACTAGGTGTGAGATTTCATTACTCTTCTTCAGTTGCTGCTTTTCTTTACAGTTTTGTGCTACACAGGTTATCTCCTGCTCCTCAATCTGAACATGTTGAGATCTCTTAAACAGGGGTTGCCCAATTTTAGAGTCTTCAAACTGTAATTCTACATCCATTTCTTCCAAAGTCTTGAACTTAATAGATGGAGATGAACATACCCCCAATACTGAAGTATAAAAATCTTTTGCTTGAGAAACAGTATTAAGTCTATAACATATTCCCAGGTAATTCACCACCATTCCAATCGGAACATCCCATCTAAACGAAATTCGTCTCATTTTAAGTTCATTTGCTAAAAAGGCAAACTCCTTTCTTCTTCTTAAAATTTTAGATGGGATCTCCTTTAAAATTATAACATCTTGTGAAGCAATTTGAAATCTCTTCTTATAAAAAGCTTGTATAATTTCATTGCGTAAAGATTTCTTCCCAAAGTAAATTACCACATCTCTTGGCAAATTCTTTTGTACTGCCACCGCAGAATTAACTCTAAATAGTTTTTCAATTTCACTAAGTATTCCTTCTTTTTCTTTATTCAAAATTACAGCAAAGTCCTTTGCAACCATCTCTTTCAGATCTTCTTGCAAGGACTCTTCCAAGCCCCTAATTCTTAAGGCGTATTCCATTTGACCATATTGAAGCATAAGAATCTCATTTTCCATTTCTTTTTCCATACTTTCAATTTTCCCCTCCATTAATTCCACTTTTTCAGCTACTTCTTCCACATGGGAATTCAACTTTTCAAGAACAGAAGCAACTCCTTTTAGAGCCAAAACTATGTCTTGCCTCAAAATCTTATTATTTTCTTCCAAAATCTTTTTCATTTCTGCCCTAATTTGAATTGTAAAATTTTCCATCATTTGTT